AGCTGAGAATTGATGATCAGAAATGACTGAGAATCAGAGTGTATATTATATGTGTTTGTAGTGACTGAGAATCAGTGATCAGAAATGAAAGAATCTATGAAGTGTAATGAAATAGTCTATATAATTGATTGAGTGCAGCTTATCACATTATAAGTCTGACTATATAATATGAAAGATGAAGAAGCTGTTATCTATGCAATGACAGATCTCTACTACACTGAGGTCAAGAACTAACTGAATCATCTAGAAAATAATTATAAGAGATTTCACTGATCTGTTCTTAAGATCTATTTAGAGAATAAGTTGAGAGACTCTGTAAACTGAACAGAGAATATCTGAGCTGTAATCATTAATATTAGAAAAAGAGGTGAGAAATCTGATAAATACTACTTATAATACTTCATGAAATTATAATATGAATTAAGATCTGTGAAAACAGAGCTCTGAAATAAGATCTGAATAATAATATTTATAAAGAGACTGAATAAAGATATATAGAATAAGCTTATTAAGTAAGACTCTAAGTTCTTAATTCTGAAGAAACTGATAACTCTTATTCATTACTTATACATCACTGTGAGAGTCACAGATCTGTGAAGAGTGAATCATCAACTAGCTTCTCAAGAATCAGAATAATAGAGAATAGATTTATTAGAAAAAGATAATAAGATATAGAGAGATTTACATCTGACTACTAAGCACAGAGAAAGAGCTTTATAAGCTCTTATAAACAGAGTATATAACAGAGAGATCAAGAAAAAGAGTCTCTACTTTATTTATTCTAAATCAGAATATCTTCATACAAAGTATTCAGATAAACTAAAATAGAAATTGAAGAAGTTATAAACAGAGTCAGTAACAGTCTTCTTAAGAGTCTTGAAGCTGATATCTGAATTTATTACTTCTCTAATGAAAATACTTACTTATAGAGAGAGACTGCACTGTAGTACTGCTATCTCATAAGTATGAAAAGTATTAATAAACTCAGAATCTCAGATCACTGTAGTGTTTCTAAAGCTCACAGAGTGAATAAGCTAAGTGATGAAAACTGAGAATCTGCTCTTATAATAAGCAGAATGTGAGAACTCAGATCTGAGAACTGAGAGACTTATAAGAGTCATCTTTGAATTACAAGATCTCTTCAGAATCTGAAGAAGATTTGCAGAAACTATGATTATTATTATTTATTATTATTCTTCAATTATAGATGTATGCAGTCAGAGACTATGACATCTACCTGAGAATCTTTAGTTCTCAGGGTTTTTCCTATATCTATAGAGTCAACTATTATACATTTATCAATTTCAAATATGCAAAATCAGAAAATTCCAGCCCAGAATACAAAAACTGTTTACAAATTACAGTATTTCAACACCTTCTGATAGTTTGAAACCATTTGAAAATATTATGACAAAAGAAAAGAGAACATAGTCTTAAAGATAGACACATTAAATAGATAGAGAAAAGAACAGAAGAAAACAAGTACAGTAAAGAGAGACTATAACAAAACAAAATTATTAAAAGATGATGTATAGCTGTTTTAACAGACTATATCTAGTCAATTTCCACCTCTTCATATTCAGATACTTCTGAATTCAGCCATTTTCTTGTAGCTGCTCTAGTTTCTGATAGAAAGTCTATTAAGTATTTAGTTCCTGTCTCAGTTGAGAATAAGAACCTCATATTTAATTGATTTAAATCATACTTCTTCTTTAATCTGACTCTGAGACTATTATATAATGCACAATGCATTACAATATGCTCAGGATTTTCATTCACATTGCAGAATGAGCACTCTGTTGAATCAAATCTATCATCAAATCTTTGTATATAAGATTTGAAATAACCATGTCCTAGTTTCAGCTGAATTATAGATGAGAATATTTTCTTTTTACATTTAATTGAACAAGATTTCCACTTTGGTTTTGTCTCAAATCTTGAATAATGTATACTCTTCTTTTGTTTCTGCCAGCTTTCATTCCACTTGTTTAAACAAGATTCTTTTATCTTTCTCTTTATGAAAGACCAGGACACTGTTTTTTGAATAGATCTGCTTAATTCTGAACCCTTTTTTGCAGCTGAATCAGCCAATTCATTGCCATGAATATTCATATAAGCAGGAACTCAATGCAGATGAATTATCAGTTTTGATATTCTTCTCTTTTGAATTTTCAAAACAGAGTTTAAAATCAGTTCAAGATTCATTTGATCATTATGAATCTGACTATTTCTAAGTCTTTTTAAAGCCACTTGACTATCAGAGAATATTCATGTCTCTTTCAAATCATTTTCTCTTTTATGAGATTTTATTTCAATGAGTTTGAAAGCTTTCACTATTGCAAATAGTTCAGCATCAAAGACTTCAGATTCACAGCCTAAATTCCAGAAATCTGAGATAAAATTAATATTATCTTCAGTATAAGCAATGCCTGCACCTAATCTATTCAAATTCTCACTTTTTGAGCCATCTGAGTAGATCATAATAGAGTCTTTTATATTAATTGTAGAGATCTTCTTCAAATGCTGTTGATATTCTCTCTCTTTAGATAGTTCACTTATTTGTAAGTCTATGAGAGATTCCAGCTTTTCTCTCCAGAGAGATATCTTCTCATGATCAATTTTCTCAACATTTAATGAAGAAAATTGATTCTTAATAAGTGAACATAGTCTATACAGTTGAGAGGGCATTTTCTTTAAAGTATTATTCTCATTTCAATCAAGAAATCTATTTCAATCCAGTTCATTTCCTGAGTTAACTGGTGGAGATGAAGAAGAGACTCTTTCTCTGATTATATGATTTGAGCTCATCTTCATGACTCTCAGAGCATAGTTCATACAGGCCTTTTCAAATCAAATAGCAGGAGGTGGAATTGAAGCTTCAATTTCCATTGCTTTAATAGAAGATGACTTGAATGCACCCAGAATTCTTCTCAAAGCTCTGTTTTATAGACTTTGAAAGAGTTCAGTGAAGTTTCCTTGATTGTTCCATCAAACTTGAACTCCATAATCAGCTACTGAGGTAATACAGGCTATGTATAACTGTCTCATAGTCTGAAAGAATAGACCTCTCTCAGTATTTGATAGTCTGATTATACTATTCAGTAGTCTCTCTGCCTTGATGATTCTTTGTTGAATATGATATTTAAAATTCAGCTTAGAGTTTAACCATACTCCTAGCCATTTGACATTTAAACCGGGTTTAATCTCTTTATTCAAAAGAGTTAGACTTAGTTCTTTCTCATTAAACCTGGAAAAAAAGTGAATTAACTCAGTTTTATTCATATCAAATTGAATTAGATTGATATCTGCTCTAACAAAGATTTCCTTTGCTGCTTTCTCAATCACTTCTAAGTTCTCTTTGATTGTCTTTGAACTGTAGAGTAGACCAATATCATCTACATAACTTGGAGATCTCACTATCTTCATCTCTCTATTCTTGAATAGATATGCAGTGTATATTGCAAATAAAACAGGTGAGATTGGAGATCCTTGTGGTACTCCTATTTTTATCTCAGTTTTATCTTGTTTTCTTCCATCAAAGAATAGTTGTATAATTCTTTTAGACATGAAACAATTGACCCATTTTATTAGAGAAAGTGGCAGTTTTAACATCTTCAAAGTTTGAATCATCTTAGACTTTGACACATAATCAAATGCACCTTTTATATCAATAAAAACTGCAGTTGAGACCAGGCCTTCATGCTTTGCTACTTGAACATCATGAATAACTGAGAGAACAGTATCAATTGCAGAACATTGTTTTCTACCTCTCATTTGTTCATTAAATAGAAGAGAATCACTAATAGAGCTTATAAAAGATAATCTAGTAGCTATTATCTTTTCTAGAATTTTTCTCAAACAGTTCAACAGAGATATTACTCTATATGACTTAGGAATTGAAGTCTTTCTATTAGGTTTTGCAAGGATTACTCCAGTAGCTTCTCTCCAGCATTCAGAATGATAACCATTTTTTAAGAGATTGAAAAAGAGCTCAAAATATTCATTCTTCAAGTAGGAATATGTGTTTTAAATAATTGAGTGATTAATTGAATCAGGCCCTGCAGCAGTTTTAATTGAACTTGAGAATATTGCTGACTCTAGTTCATCATATGTAAGCTCAGGCCATTCCCAGTTATTTTCATCAATATATTCATGAAATGATATATTCTCCTCTTCTAAATGTGATGATGAGTTTTGGAAGAGAATTCTCATAAAAGCTTGACATTTTTCCTCAAAAGAATTTGCTGTATATAATTCATTCTGAAATTTATATTCTAAGGTTGAAAGCTTTGCTACACTTCTTGTTTTAGTATAGTTGAAGGCTTTGAAAACTTCTTTTCCTTGTGCTTCTTCAAGAAATTTGTTCCAGCAATCTGTTTTGGCTTTTTTAATATCTGAAAAATATTCATTTTGAATAGCTTTGAACTCTTCATCAGATATTAAGTGATTCTTCCAATCTCTCTTAGCAGTGGCCAATTGCTTTCTTTTAGAAGTGATATTCTCATTCCACCAAGGTTTGAAATACTCAGAAGACTTTTTCTTTGGAATATTTTCTTCAATACATGTTAGAAGAATAGATGTAATCAGCTTTGCTCTATTCTCAAGCATTTCATTTGATATATCTTGACTTTGATTCCAATAGAGCTCACTCTGCCTTTAAGATTTCAGCTGTTTTACTCTTTCTTCAACTGCTTTCCAATCAGCTTTTTCAAGCAGAAACTATGATTATCACAGATATTATATGAAAGGTGTAAAGCTTGTGTGATTGAAAGGTTGCTAGCTTTGTGGAAAGTTATATGATGAAAGGATTAGTAAGCCAGATCACATGACATGACACCCCCACTCACCAGAGTAACTATACACGATGCTATATACAAAATTCGCCTTCAAATCAAGTACAGGTACAAAAAATGACTGGAAAATGTGAAGTAATGAAAAACCAGTCATGATATACATCATTTTTTATCCCTCTATCTCTCTATCTTCTTTATATTCTCTTTTCAATGCATATATTTCAAACTGTTGATCTCTTTAACACAGGTCTTGTAATAATACTTCCATTTCATGAAAGCTTTGACGCGTGTGAGGTTTTTCAGAATCAGAAGTGCAGTGATCTTGAGATCAGTGAGTAGATCTTCAAGACTGTTCCTCACTGAAGCTTCTCTCACTATAGTGATATTTCTTGTAGATGTTGAAGAGTCATCAGATTCAACTGTGGGTTCTGGGAAGTTCAGTGTATTCTGCACTAAAAGGGTAGGTATTCTCGCGGAGATATCATAGTCAATCCATCAATTATTAGTGGGTATGAGAAATAATGAACACTCAGGTTGAATTTCCTCATCAATGAATAGATTAACAATTGATGAATCAGGAATTGCTGCAGTCTCTTGACAGGCCGCAGTGGGTAGGCCTGGTGTCACCGAAGGAATCGCCGCAGCCGCTTTACAGGCCGCATTGGGTAGAACCTTTGGGTTGTGTTTTGTCGGTATTGATGGATTGGCAAGATGGAGGTCCTCCTGGAAGATGACATCCTTTGATATGTATAAACGCCTGTTGGAGGGATCCTTGTAACAGGCTGGCACATTGATAACCTCTGTGAGGTTTGCCATCTGATAGGTCTCTGATCCATCTGTAATGAATAGTTGGGTTTCACTCTCACTATTCTTTTCCTTCTTTTCTTTGAATTCCTTTATCCTTGCAGTGTTGTAGATTCTTCAATTATCTGAAGCACTGTCTGAATTGACCAATCAACAGGTGTCAAAGTGAGATCTCTCACATTCAGAACATGTAGGTGGATTTCCCGATCCTCAATGGTTTCGGGAGCCCCCTTGAGTACTACCATGACCACGTCCAGTACAGCCTCCACAGGCCGAATTCAATGTATTGTTGTTGATAGTCATTGTGGCTGTTGTAGCTGTCGTAGCTGTGTTGGCTGCAGAATCTATATTGTGCAGATTCTTTTTATCTTTTGAAGGATCAAGCCACGAACGGATTTCCTCCATGAGAAGATCAACATCCAATACCACAGCTGTGGATTTGGAATCCTGTATCTCCTCTATCTTCTTCTGAACATAATTCCTTCAATTATTGGGTAGGACTGAGTAGAAGGTATCAAATATCCACACATCTGGGGGGGAAGCATTCAACATCTTCAATTTCATGATGGTGAACCGGAACTTATCAAAGAATGTGTGTAGATTGGTGACCTGTGTGCCACCAAGAGACATGAATTCCAGAACTGTCTCACAGTGTAACTGCATTTTGAGGACAGAGTATTCCTGTTCAATCGCATTTCATAGGGTATAAGTGATTCAATTTTCATCATACTTGGAGAAATGTGATCTGACACCTGCATTCAAGGAGTTCAAGATGAATGTGTAGAGCCACTGATTTCTGGTGTCTCAGAATGATGCTCATTCATCATCTCTTTGTAGAGGATTCTGAATCTGTCATTTCTCTATCATATATCAGCACTGTGCATCAACCAGTTTTGATTTCATGAAGATGCTTCATGTGATGTAATTGAATGTGTCAGTCAGACTGTTTAATCTCACAGTATTCTTGACATCTTTCTTGAATTGAGAGATTGCCTTGTCAACATGACTATCTGATTCATAAAGATTGAATTCCAACCTTTCACTGAGATTAGAATTCCATGTGACTGTTGATGTAATGACAGAATGATTGTTGATATTCTGTGATTGATCTATGAAGAATGAGAATCTCTATTGACAGAGTTTTTCTAGTTGTAGTTCAAGTTCTAAGACTCTTTGCTTTCCCTTGTTCATCTCAAGCATTATCTTGAGATGCTTCATCTGTTGGTCTGATATTGCCTCGCCTGAACAGTAGATATCTGAGTGTTCAATATTCTCATCAAGAGAACCAGCTTCATCAAGCTATCAAGTAGATTGAGGGGCTGGCCTGACTGTGTCAGAAGCTGTATTCAAACCAGCTTTGAATCAAGAGAGTGTTGTGAGATATTCTTCAATGAAGCTTTCAAAGGCTTCAGAAGGATGTTCACTGGCAGAGCATGAGTGTGAAGAATCATCATCATCAACTGCAACTGATTCAGTGAAAAGAACACAAGATTATGAATATATGTGTGAGTGTGATTATATTGAATCTGCCATCTTGATATTCATTTATTAAATCCTTGTCAATATCATTCTCTTTTCTTGCTTTTTTTTTTTGCAAATGTGATGCATTTTCTGCAAGCCTCTTTTTTAAGTGAGCAGTAGTATTATTGATCATCAAGATCTCAAATGCATCAATACTGATAGAATAAGATGATTTTAACTTCTGATGAGTGTATTGAATGAAGCAGTAGTTCAAATAGATTATATTGACAAGGAATCCCGAATTGGCAGCGATTTTGTGCAAAACAGGTCTCATAACCTGTGAAAGGTGTAAAGCTTGTGTGATTGAAAGGTTGCTAGCTTTGTGAAAAGTTATATGGTGGAAGAATTAGTAAGCCAGATCACGTGACATGACATATTATAGATAATATATACTTGAGACTTGTATAACTTTAAAGACATAATTTATACATATCTGTCTATGAGTTAGATTTATACTTCTAATCAGTGTTAATAGATCTACTTATAAAGATAGAATCAGTTAATACTATAGAGTTAATTAGAGAAGATAAGCTTATCTATATAATAACTTTATAAATGTCTGAGAACTTCATGATTGTGAAAACTGAGCTTTAGATATCAGAGAAATACTGAGATCTTATAAAGATATTTAGCTTAGTAAAGACAGCTGAGCTTTCTTCTCACTGTAAGAAGAATCTAATAATAGATTTGATAGAAGAATAGAAATTCTTCTAAGAATTAATCTATAAGCTCTTTTATTATGAGACAGAGATCTTATAAGTCTATATAAAGAAGAATCTGAAGAATGACTTTATCTGATCTTCACAAATCTTCATGAAAGCCTTAGTGATATTTATAAATAAGAAGTATAAAGATCTAAGATTATATATAGACTATTATAATCTGAACTTTAAGATAATAAAGAGTCACTACTCTCTGTCTCTGATTAAGAATGTGATTAACTGTCTTATGAAAGCTGTTATATTCACACAACTGAATATAATCAATATATATATATAACTGTGAATACAGTCTGAAAATAAATAAAAGACTGTCTTTAGAACTGTACTGAGATTGTTTGAATATCTAGTGATGTCTTTTGATTTGACTAATATCTCTGTAATATTTCAGTCTTTTATTAATAAAGCACTTTATGTATATCTGAATGTCTTTATAATAATATATCTGAATGATGTGATGATGTACTCTACTAAGAAGAAAGAATACACTGAGTATATGCAAAGTATATTGAAGATCTTAGATGAGACAGAACTGTATATTAAGCTTATAAAGTATAACTTCAGTATCTATTGAATTAATTTTCTAGAATATATAATTATTACAGATAATATTCAGATGAAATCTTCACAGATTAAGACTATTCTATTATAACTGAAGTTAACTAGTATTTATGAGATTCAGATCTTTCTGAGCTTTGTGAATTTCTATAAATAGTTTATATTTATTTTTATAAGAATCTTCTTGACTCTTACAGACATGCTGAAGAATGAAGATAAGAAGAAGTCATCTTATAAATAGAGAATGAAAAGATTATTAAGAAGAAAGAGCTATGAGAACTTTCTTATCTCAGAAGCTCACAGAGTCTTTATAAGATTAAAACAGATATTTACAGATATAGTGATACTGTTTCACTTTAATCTCTTACTCTTAATCAGATTGAAGACAGATGTCTTCTTCTTTATAATTTGAGAAATAGTCTTATAACTATAGTTAAATGAGAACTGAGTTTCAGTAATCTTTTTCTTACAGAAGATGTAACTTATGAAGATTAACTATGATATTTATAATCAGAAGTTTCTTATAATAGTGAAATTCTTTCATCACTGATATCACTACTTTGAGAATCTGTTAGAACTGATTATAATGACTTATAACAGTTTACTTCAATTAAGAAACTCTCACAGTGACAGATTCACTGAGCTCAGAGACTTAGTAAGTTCTGATTTAAGATAGAATATATCAAAAGCACTAAGAACTCAGTAGATGAACTCTCTCACAGATCAGACTATATTAAGAAGATCAGAATGATAGATACAGAGAGACTAGAGAAGACAGAAAAGCTTTACAGAATACTTAAACTGAGTATTATAAAGAGATTAACTGAAGAGTCTCTCAATTCTTTATAAGAGAAGAAGAGAAAGAGAGAGAAGAAGTCTGTATAATTACTCTCTATAATACTAAGAATTAACACTCTGAAAATCTGTGTAAGAATTCTTGAAAAGAGTATCTATAATCTGAAGAGTTTGCAAACTTTGAGAAGTATTACAGAAGATCAGATGTAAGAAGAAATAGAGTATAAGTTTTTATAAGATCTTCTATTCAGATTGTCTGAACTGTAACTGAAAAATAAATATACTCAATATATTCAGAAACTGCTCACAGCAGAGATTAATCCTGAAGAAATAAAGAATTAAAGAGACTTAAAAAATCTCTTATAAAGAGAGAACTGAATTTATATATCTGTGAATAAGTTTCTATGTATAGAACTCATTAAAAGATATTATAACTCTTCTCTAGCAGAGTATTTTACAGACACTAGAACTTATAAGTTACTTATAAGAAAATACTTCTAACTGAAGATGTGAGAACTTGTGAAGAAGATAGTGAATTCTTGTACTATTTATCAGAGTTCATAAGTAATGTGATTCAGATTATATAAAGAACTTACTCCTCTATTTATTCTGCAGAAATTTTGAGAACAGCTATAAATAAAGACTTTGATAAGTCTCTCTGAAAGTAAGTACATATATAATACCTGCTTTGACAGTGTGCTGATAATAGTGAATTACTTTATCAAGATAACACACTTTATAGTCACTTATAAGAACTTAAAGTCAAAGAATTTAACTTATATCTTTATCTATGATATAATCTGATTGCATGAATTATCTATGAACATTATCTTAGATAGAGAATTAATCTTCATAGAAAAGTTCTGATCTGATCTGATAACTATACTGAAAATCTCATAAGATCTAAGCACAGCTTTTCATTAATAAATAGATAATCAGATAGAACATCTAATGAGTATATAAACAGTATCTACAGTACTTTGTCAATTATAATCAGAATAACTAAATACATTGATTATTATTTACAGAGTTTATATACAATAACTCAAAGCTTGTTAGTATAGATAAAACTCTCTTTAAGATACTTACTAAGACTCATCTGCAGATAATCTTAATAAACTCATAAGAGTACACTATAGAGTATGATAATATCTGTGAATAGACTGAGAGAATTCAGAATATTCAGAAGAAAGCTTATAAATTCTTGAGAAAGACTTAAGAGTATTAGAAGAGATACTATGACTTCAAGTATATTATAAAGAGTTTCAAGAAAGATAATAGAGTCTGATTAAGTCTAGAAAATATTATTATGTAGAAATCTAGTAAGAAGCTGAATCTCTTACAGACAGAGTCTTATAAGATTATGAAGAAAGTTAGCTCACAGTTCTATAAATTGAAACTGTCATCTGAGTTATAGATATACAATGTTTTTCATATCTCTTTGCTTTATAAATATAAGAAATTCTTAGAAGAGAATTCTGTGACTTATCACTCTATTCATGAGA